CGTCCGACAGGCCAACGGCTAGTTTTGACAGCATTTAATATTTGACCGTTGGAGAGCCTTTTGGAGCCATTTCTCACCTTCTATAAACACCCCAAAGCACAAGAAGACACAAGACTTTTGCCAACACAAAATACAAGCTTACAAGTGAGATTTTTGAGTAGAAAGATTCTTTGTTGGTTGTATAAGGGGTTGGGGAAGTTGGGTTGTGAGGTTGCTCAAGTGAAGGTTATTCTCTAGGAGGAGTAAAACCTTGGTGAAGGTGAACCTATCACTTGAAGTGGTAAAACCTTGGTGAAGGTTGCCTCATTTGTATAAAATAGTTCTTAATTGGGTGAGTGATCTTTCAAGTGTAGGCTGTTGAGGGTTAACTAGAATTGTTGTAAAACTCCTTGGCTCAACCAAAGTGTGTTTGGGGTGAGGAAGGAGTGAGCCTTCACTTGTACATCTTGGTTAGCATCGCCATCTATTGAAGAGGCTATTGGATTGATATTTGGTTTGCATTTCTTATCTTTTCTCTTTAATTAAGTTTTCTTTATTGTGCTTAAATTTGATATATCTTTGTGCATCATTGTGAAATTGTTTGTACTCATTGGGTTGCACTAGTCTATTGATAGACCACCTATTGAAATTTCTTTGTATGTTGGCATTTTTTAAGGGGGAGTTTTATTTGAACTTATTTGATCAAAGAAATCTTCATTTTGTTTGTCATCATCAAAAAGGGGGAGATTGTTGACCTTGGTCGATCAATCCTTGGTTTTGATGATTAACAAACTAAAATGTAGATTTGGGCTAATATTTTTATGTGAGCAATTTGTTAGAACAGATTCTTGTGGCACAAAAGAAGAAGCAAAAACAGGGCACTCATGTGGGACGTCCGAAAGGAAGCTATCGGACGTCCGAAAGGATGAAGAACATCAAGAAGGAAACTCTGTCGGACGCTCGTGAGGAAGCATCGGACGTCCGGAAGGATCGGACGCACGCATCGGACGCACATCGATCGCATCGGACGTCCGAGAAATTTCGCAAAGATTTGATGACTCTCTGATGACGTTCGGACGCATGGTTCGGACGTCCGACAGATGGTTTGGACGCAGGGTTCGGACGTTCGACAGGTGGTTCGGACGTCCGACAGGCCAACGGCTAGTTTTGACAGCATTTAATATTTGACCGTTGGAGAGCCTTTTGGAGCCATTTCTCACCTTCTATAAACACCCCAAAGCACAAGAAGACAAAAGACTTTTGCCAACACAAAATACAAGCTTACAAGTGAGATTTTTGAGTAGAAAGATTCTTTGTTGGTTGTATAAGGGGTTGGGGAAGTTGGGTTGTGAGGTTGCTCAAGTGAAGGTTATTCTCTAGGAGGAGTAAAACCTTGGTGAAGGTGAACCTATCACTTGAAGTGGTAAAACCTTGGTGAAGGTTGCCTCATTTGTATAAAATAGTTCTTAATTGGGTGAGTGATCTTTCAAGTGTAGGCTGTTGAGGGTTAATTAGAATTGTTGTAAAACTCCTTGGCTCAACCAAAGTGTGTTTGGGGTGAGGAAGGAGTGAGCGTTCACTTGTACATCTTGGTTAGCATCGCCATCTATTGAAGAGGCTATTGGATTGATATTTGGTTTGCATTTCTTATCTTTTCTCTTTAATTAAGTTTTCTTTATTGTGCTTAAATTTGATATATCTTTGTGCATCATTGTGAAATTGTTTGTACTCATTGGGTTGCACTAGGCCTTACAGGTTAGTTTAGTAAGAATCACCACCAAAAACTCAAGTCTTGTTAGTTATGTAGTGGCAAAACCACAAGGCAAATATATGGTGGATTTAGTGCAATATCGCTGTTACAATATGTAAACTAGAAGTAAGATATTTTATGAACAACAATGTCATAATAAGCAGTCCATGCATAAAAGAAACCATCTCAACAGCGTTGCAGATGGTTAGCATTGTACAATTTGCACATGTACAATCTAAATATCATAGTTGTGACAGCCCCACCTTCCCCTAAGGCGTACCAAAGGGGTTAGCGGACTGCCTGCCCAGCTCTCGCCAGGACTACTAGCGCGATGATGTACAGTCTAAATCATTCCGGAAGGTATTAGCGCGCTCAAACGAAACAAAAGCATGAAATGAAAATGAAATATCGGAGCCACACATGAACAGTGCCAATCACATTTTACAGTTGCCTGTAAAATTTCAGCCCAATCCGAGCTCGGTAGCCTGTGAAAAGACGAAAATACCCAGACTGCCCTAGGTAGGAGTTCGGCGGTCAGGGTTGGCAGTTCACCCAAACTGATCGCGACCATTCACCCTGATGTGTACTGAGTTTGATTTTGTCCAAAACACAAAAGTTGTAGTGCTGTGTCTTAGCTTTCTAACGGCCTTGGAAACACCTTAATTGAAATTCGGTAGCCTGAGTTATGGTCATTTAACTAGAATACGGTTAGCTAACCTGTTTGTGCGATTCTAGTTTGGTACATTGAAATTTTGACCTAGTTACACTACAAACTGGACTGAGTGGCCTTCTTCAACATTGTATCCCTTTCTCTTAGCTTTGAAATGGTGTAAATTTCACCTCAATCCGACAAGTGTAGCTTCAGTTGTGTTAGTTCCGCTAAGTAACAGCAAATCTGCCTTTTATTTTCCAACCTAAACTTCATTTCCGCACATGTCCTAGTTTGATTTTGCACTTATACGTTCTATTTGATTTACTCTAGTAGTATGTGTATTTGGTTTATGACTCGTATTCGAGTCTCATTGTGTTTACTTGAATGTTTTAGGGCGTGCCGGTGACCCAAGGCACTCATTGGACGGAAATTTGTGAAATTCCTTTTGTTTGATTGGTGAGTGTATTACTCACATACTTGTTACTTCATGGCTTCGTTATACTTGAAATCTATGGCTTGAATGCTTGTATGTATTGATGAGCTTGGTTGAGTTAAGGGTGTACTTTATCACTCTTACACTCAAGGGCTTATGTGACTGGCTTATGTGACTGTTACTGTATCAATTGAATGTCTTTGAATATACCTGAATTGGTGTCGTTTGGACATGTATCCAACGACTCTTACTGTTTACTCTGAGCTCAACCCCATTGGCGGTCGATTGACTTGAGCCAGCAAGGGCATGGTCGAGAAGATTGATAAGCCGTGGGGACTGTTTCTATGGAATCATTGGGTATGAGACCCTTGATTCCGGTATACTCGAGTATTACCATTGTAAACTGAATGGAGTTCGGCTCGGTAGGGGTATGTGAGATGGATGGAAATTGGAGAAAGTGGGGTCCACGGTATTGGTTACTTCTTTAAGCGTTGACGGAGGGTCAACGGAGCGAGATCAAGTACGGCAAGTGAGGAAAAGGGCTCTTAAGAGCCGCCCGTATCCTTTTATTGAATTTAAATGTATTGTTAGTTCAGATTACTTGTTGAACGTTGGACTGAGCAACTTTGTACTTATGTGAACTTTACTGATCTGCATGAGTGTACCTCATTGGACGAAAGCTCACTCCATTGCCTTTGTTTTCCTTACAGGGATGTGAATACCTTTTGAAAACTGTGAATTTGAAGCCGAGTTGAGCTAGTGTAATATACTTTTGTATAGCTCCTCGATAGTTGGAAAAATCCTAAATGTATTTTGATCTAATTATCTTCCTTTTGAGTTGTAAGTTGGGAACCTTACATGTATAAATGTGATTGGCACTGTTCTTGTGTGGCTTCGATATTCCGTTTTCATTTCATGATTTTGTTTCGTTTGAGCGCGCTAATACCTTCCGGAACGATTTAGACTGTACATCATCACTCTAGTAGTCCTGGCGAGAGTTGGGCAGGCAGTCCGCTAACCCCTTTGGTACGCCTTAGGGGAAGGTGGAGCTGTCACAGGTGGTATCAGAGCCTAGGTTAGAAATGACCTAGGCAAGTTTGACTTTTGTTCCTTAGGACCTGTGTGAGGGAAGTGTTAAGATACCGTTAAGTGTGACTATGCTTACGTTGTCTAAGATATGAATCTTTTTGCTATCCTTGTAGGACATGGCTGGAGCAAGCGAAGAGGGTGGAGGTGAGCCTCCTCAGAGGCGGCCACGAGTCATTGATTACCAGGAGAGGTCGAGAGGCCCGATCCGGCTTTGGTATACCGCTAGTCGGGCTCGTCGTTGTGACCGTTGCCGAAACCACTCCTACGTCGATCATGTGGTCGTGGCGGTGTTAGGCGAAAGGAGGAGACTTAGGCATGCCGCCGCCAGGGATCACGCGGAGCTACTTAGGCTGAGGGGCATCACGAGGATGCAAGCCGACCGGATAGGGGAGCTCCGGGAGAACATAGCTATGGAACAGGAACGCACTAACGCTCTTAGAGAGCAGTTGCAGGGGGTTAACCATCGTCTTACCAACGTCGTCCGGGAGGTTAGAGACCGTTCCGGCAGCATTATTAATGAGTGTGAGGCGCTGATCCAAGATGTGATTGGCGCCAATGCGCAGGTGGAGGCTCCTAGTGATGGAACCTCTGATGAGGGGAGCACCCCTAGTTCTAGCCACGGGGGAGAGTCGGCGGCCTCGGTAGGGAATTAGGCTAGACCGCTTTTGAACCACTTTTGATTCCATGGGAACTGTTCGGGGAAAGAACCCTTAGCTAGCCATTTTTGTATGTTTGGACTAGTTTTGTATATATAACTTTTGGTGACGCCGTTTTCTCATGGACTTCCTTATTTGTACTTGATTGACTGTTAATATGTGACTTGTTTGACACTGATGTGTGATATGTGAATATGTTTTGAATGTGCACACCTTTTGGTTCCTTATCTAAATTTACCGTTTCCTTTAATGTTATATCTACGTTTTACCCTATATCTACGTTTTACCCTAGATCTACTAGATTTTATGGAAGGCACTCGTAGTGATCGAGGCCGCGGACGCGGGAGTAGGCAACCCACGTCTGAAAGGGGCGCTGGGAAAATTTCATCCGGACCAGACCCTGAACCTAGGGTTGACCTTAACGTTCAAATAGCTGCCGCCATGCAGCAAATGACTAATTTATTGACCCAAGTGGTGCAGCAGCAGGGTCAAAACCCTAATCCTAACCCTGGAAACCCTGGCAACCACGTGGAGAGCGAGGACAGGGCTTTCGAGAGATTCCAGAAGTTTGCCCCACCAAAGTTCCTTGGGGGGCCCGATCCAGATGTAGCCGAAAGGTGGCTAGAGAAAATGGTGGATATTTTTGCTGCCCTGCACTACACTGAGGAAAGGCAGGTGACCTTCGCCGTCTTTTAGCTTGAAGGGGCGGCCCGTTCCTGGTGGAACGTCATTCGGCAGAAGTGGGAACGGGAGCAAACGTCCCGGACCTGGGTGAACTTTATGCGAGAGTTCAACGCTAAATTCTTCTTTCCTCTAGTGCAGGAACGGAAGGAAGATGAATTTATTCGGCTGCGTCAGGGAGCTCAGTCCGTAGCAGAGTACGAGAGCCAGTTCACCCGCCTATCCAAATTTGTCCCCGAGCTAATCATGACCGAGCAACGGATGATAAGGCGCTTTGTTCAGGGTCTGAATGTAGAAATAGAAAAGGACCTCGCGGTGGCCCAGATTAACGCTTTTAGCGAGGCCGTGGAAAAAGCCCAGCAGATGGAAAGCGCTAGGCTACAAGTGAGAAACTTCCAGGCAAAGAAGCGAGGCTTTCCTAGGAGCAGTTCAGGGCAGGGGGATAAGAGTGCCCCTCCCAAGTACGGACGGGGAGCCGAAGATGGAAGGCAGACGGGCGCAGGTAGAGGGGCTCAGTCTAGGGGTGGTCCGGCTGGGAGAGGCCAGGGAGGAAGTTTCTAGAGAGGTTCGGGTTCGGCATCCCGTGGACCCTGTGGGTATTGCGGAAAGCCAAATCACTCGGAGGATAACTGCTAGAAGAAGGAGGGAAAGTGTCTGCGTTGCGGAAGCGCAGACCATCAGCTTGCCACCTACCCAATCCTAAAACCAGATGGAAAGGGAAGTCAACAACCACCGAGGACCAACGCTGGACCAGCTAAGGGAGACGGGATGAAACCCAAGGTCGCGGCTCGAGTGTACTCGCTAGAGCCCCAACAGGTCCCAGACTCTTCCGAGGTCGTAGAAGGTACGATCCCTATATTTCACCGATTTGCGAAGGTCTTAGTAGATCCCGTTGCCACCCATTCCTTCGTTAACCCTAATTTTATATGTGGCATGGATATAAAACTTGCTAGTTTACCTTACGACCTAGAAGTTAGTACGCCTACGGGGGATCATCGTTTGATTACTAGCCTAGTTTATAAGGACTGCGAGGTTTGGGTAGGAGAGAGAAAATTGTTAGGGGAATTGATAAGCCTGTCCATTAAGGGGTACGATGTGATTTTGGGCATGGACTGGTTAGTCAGGTATAATGCCCAACTAGATTGTAAGAAGAAAGTGGTAGAGTTCTGTATTCCTGGTGAGGCAACCTTAAGGTTAGATATAAGGGGCAGGTTAGTCTCATCCGCCTTGATTTCGGGCATCCGGATTAGGAAACTGCTAAGTAGAGGGGCGCAAGGGTTCTTAGCCTTTCTAATCAATATCCCCACCGATAAATTGAAGGTAGAGGATGTGCACATAGTAAAGGAATATCCTGACGTATTCCCTGATGAGTTAGTAGCTCTGCCTCCGGAAAGAGAGATCGAATTCAAAATCGACCTGCTATCGGGAACGTCGCCCATCTCGAAAACCCCATATCGGATGGCCCCTGCGGAACTTAAGGAGCTGAAATTGCAGTTACAAGATCTTTTGGAGCGGGGGTTCATCCAAGAGAGTGGGTCTCCTTGAGGAGCCCCCGTACTGTTTGTGAAGAAGAAGGACGGGAGTCTGCGGATGTGTATAGACTATCGGGGGCTAAATAATGTGATGATTAAAAATAAGTATCCACTGCCCCATATTGATGAGTTGTTCGACCAATTGCAAGGAGCAGTGGTCTTCTCGAAATTAGATCTTCGACAGGGGTATTACCAGTTGTTGATTAGGAAAGAGGATATTCCGAAAACTGCTTTCAATTCGAGATATGGGCACTACGAATTCGCAGTTATGCCCTTTGAACTGACCAATGCCCCTGCCGCCTTCATGGATCTAATGCATAGGGTTTTTAAGCCCTACTTGGATCGATTTGTCATTGTTTTCATTAATGACATCTTGGTCTACTTCAAGACTCGCGAGGAGCATGAACAGCATCTAAAAATTGTTCTGCAAACCCTAAAAGAGCATGGGTTATACGCCAAGTTCAGTAAGTGCGAGTTTTGCCTGGAGAAAATTTTTTTCTTAGGGCACGTAATTTCCCAAGAGGGAATCTCAGTTGACCCAGCAAAGGTAGAGGCCGTGACGGATTGGAAGAGGCCAGAAAATCCCACGGAGGTCCGTAGTTTCCTAGGATTGGCTGGGTACTATAGGCGTTTCATTAAAGACTTTTCCAGACTGGCCGGTCCATTAACCGATCTGACGAAGAAGCATGGTCGGTTTGTGTGGGATGCCAAATGCAAAAGGAGTTTTCAGGAGCTAAAGAAAAGATTAACTATGGCGCCAGTTCTAGTTTTGCCTAACGGAGTAGACGGGTTTACTTTCTATACCGACGCGTCGCGGGAAGGTCTGGGGTGTGTGCTGATGCAGAACCGGAATGTGATATCTTTTACCTCTAGGAAATTGAAACCTCACGAGCAGAACTACCCAACCCACGATCTCCAGTTAGCCGCGGTTGTTTTCGCTCTGAAAAAGTGGAGACACTACCTATACGGGGTGACCTTCGAGGTTTACTCAGACCACAAGAGCCTTAGGTACCTCTTTTCATAAAAGGAATTGATTATGAGGCAGCGACGGTGGTTGGAATTTCTGGAGGATTATGACTGCACTATCAACTACCATCCGGGGAAGGCGAACGTGGTGGCTGATGCCTTAAGTCGCAAGGCTTAGGTAGCAGGGTTAATGATCAAAGAGTGGGATTTGTTAGAATCCGTTTGCGAGTGGAAACCCTGCCTTGGGAGTCATAAGGTGGTTTTTGGTAATATTAAGGTAATATCCACCCTACTGGAGCGAATTAAAGAAGCACAAAAGGAGGATTCGATGGTGCGAAAGTGGGGAGAGAAGGTGGAAAAAGGGGAATCAACCGACTTCAACTTCAGTCCCGAGGGTATTCTAAAATACCGAAACCAAGTGGTGGTGCCTAAAGATGAAGCGGTAAGAACGGAGATCTTAGAGGAAGCTCATCAGTCCAGATACACGATCCATCCGGGTAGTAGCAAGATGTATCAAGACCTAAAAGGAACATATTGGTGGGATAACATGAAGAAGGAGATTGCTCTGTACGTGCAAAATGTCTCGTTTGCCAATAGGTTAAGGCGGAGCATAAAAAACCATCGGGTTTGTTACAACCCCTTGAGATACCCGAATGGAAATGGGAAAACATCACAATGGATTTCGTTTCAGGTTTGCCACGAACGCAACGAGGACACGATGCCGTTTGGGTGATCGTCGATCGATTAACCAAATCGGCCCATTTCTTACCGGTAAACGTGAAATACTCCATGGAGAAATTGGCTCAGGTGTACATGGACGAGATCGTAAGGCTACATGGCGTTCCTGTGAGCATCGTTTCAGACAGAGATCCCCGCTTCGTAGCTAAATTTTGGCAGAAATTCCAAGAGACTCTGGGGACCAAACTCAACTTAAGCACCACCTATCACCCTCAGACGGATGGACAATCAGAGCGAACAATTCAAACTCTAGAGGATATGTTAAGGACCTGCATTCTGGATTTTGGGGGTAACTGGGGTCAACACATGACCTTAGTAGAGTTTGCGTACAATAACAACTACTATTCATCAATTCAAATGGCTCCATACGAAGCACTTTATGGGAGAAAATGTCGGTCACCGATCTACTGGGATGAAGTCGGCGAGAGGAAAGCCCTAGATCCAACGACTATTCCATGGATGGAGGAGGCACGAGAAAAAGTCAAGTTAATACGACAAAAACTCCAAACAGCTCAAAGTCGGCAAAAGAGCTATGCGGACAATCAAAGAAAAGACTTGGAGTTCAAAGTCGGGTACCGCGTTTTCCTCAAGATCACACCGTTACGGAGCGTCACAGCAAGCAGAGGAAAGAAGCTTCAACCGAGGTTCGTTGGACCTTTCAAGATTCTCCAAAGGGTTGGTAAGGTAGCGTATCGCCTTGAGTTACCGTCCAGTCTATCCAGAATTCACGGCGTCTTCTACGTCTCGATGCTTAAGAAGTACTATCCTGACCCGTCTCATATCTTACAATCGGAGGAAATCGAAATAGACGAATCGCTTACTTACGAAGAAAAATCGGTACAATTGCTTGACCGGAAAGTTAAGGAACTAAGAACAAACAGATTCCTTTGGTAAAGATATTGTGGAGAAACCATGGAGTCGAAGAGGCTACCTAGGAGGTGGAAGAAGAAATGCAAAAGAAATACCCTGAACTTTTCGTGAATCAAGGTGAGGAAATTTCGAGGGCGAAATTCTTTTAAGAGGGAGAGAGTGTGAGAACCCGTAATTTTCTTAATTTCTAGGTTTTATTTTCTTTTAATTGCACGCTTTTCCATATTTTCTTTAATCCGAAAGTTTTAAAAATAATTTTTATGAGTAAATATGGTTTTTAAATTATTTTTCTAGTATTAGTTAGTTTTTGAGAAATTAAGAGCGTATACCGGATGTGGGACCCACTAGTGCGGTAAGTTTGATAAAATTCGGCCAATTAGGTTAAGTTGTGTATACCGGATTTAATTTATCAGGTATTAAGAGATAATTGGAAGTTACCTAGATGGATTATCATTGGAGAGAAAAAGGATAAGTTTTAAGCCAAAAGGTGACAAGTGTCACCATTCAATTCACCCTTGGACTTTGACCTTTGACTCTACCATTACTTTACCTTTCCTACATATTAAAAATTCACCACAAAGTCATCACCATACTCATCCTCTTGGCCTAGACTTCTTGGAGAGAGAAGAAAAAAAAAAACCCTTCAACTAGTTGATCCAATTTCTTGCACAAATCTTGTGATTCAACCGGAAAATCTCGAATTCCCTCCGTAGAAAGCCTTTGATAGGTGGTAGTGACTAAGTTGGTGGAGTGGTTTGGAAAGAGGAGGTGTTAAGTTGCTTGTTTTCTTGAGGTTACAAGGTGAGTTGTTAAGAACTTTTCCCTTTAGCCTTGATAATGTTCAATTGGTGGCTTTGGTGGCTTAATATGATGACATATGGTGTGATTATGGTTTGTTTATGGTTGGAAGTGAAGTTATGATGGATTTTGATTTATTATTGTTATTTTTCTGTTTTGTATGATAATCATGGTTTGGTCATGGATTGAGGGCTTATTATAGTGTAATTTGGAGCTAATATATATTGGATACGATTGGTTGCGAAAATTTCTGGTTAGCACAGAAAATGACAGTTTAGGGTTGTAAATTTTTCCTGTTCTGCTCGGTACTGTTAGACCTAGTTAGAGGCCGAATTAGCCTTAGGTTAAAACATGAAAGTTGTAGAAAATCATGTTTTATAGTTTTCTGTACAATTTCAGCCCAATCTGAACTCGGTAGCCTGTGAAAAGATGGAAATACCCAGACTGCCCTAGGTAGGAGCTCGGCGGTCAGGGTTGGCAGTTCACCCAAACTGATCGCGACCGTTCACCCTGATGTGTACTGAGTTTGATTTAGGCCAAAACATGAAAGTTGTCGTGCTATGTCTTAGCTTTCTAACGGCCCTAGAAACACCTTAATTGGACTTCGGTAGCCTGAGTTATGGTCATTTAACCAGAATACAATTAGCTAACCTGTTT